AGAGGACTCAAGACCACAGCCCACACCCGCTTCAGGAAGCAGAGAGGATTTTCATTCTACAGCTCCCCTTCCCCCGCCCTCACAGGTGACAAAAAATCAACCCTGTCAAGAATGTACGGAATCCCAACACAGTGTGCATCATAATTACCTCATAGGTACAACTTCAAATTTGGACTTTTCATAAACCTAGCAACAAAATAAAATCTTTTCTTAGCGCAGCGCACTTTGAAAGAAAATTTGCAACCGATAATTGAAAAAAGGACGCATCCGATAGCTGTGACATCAGGAAAAGCCTCTCACTCGGTTTTCGGTTCAATCAGACCCTTCATTGGCGTGCTATGTGCTCTCAATTTCCATTCGGAATCGTTTAGATGTCTGAATAACTTGTGAAAAAACTTCGTATTTTTCGTTATCTTCAATTTTCAAGGTTCCACGGAAAGAAGAAATTCCCACAACTGATCCGAAACACCAACGAAACGTTATCGCTCGTTTTCAAATCCGACCATGGAGTCTACTATCCAGGATTTCGACTTCTTTTCTCAGCTGGTATGCCTTTGCTGCTTCATAGCGAGTTTGAATTCAAAACTACATGCCCATACTCTTGTTTCTTCTACTCGTAATCCACGTAGCGGGTCAGAAACCCGAGTATTTCAGCATTCCCATAAGTAGACGCAGTAATGTATTTCACTACTTATCGACTCCATGTTGAGTTTGGCGGCCTTCAAAACCACTCTAATCCAATAACTTGCTCGATTTCAGAATCTAATGAGGACAGCTACGTTGAGGACCACTCAATCATGTACATTTCTATTATTATAATTACTCTACTATCAATTATGCTCGTTGCCGGCATCATCGTTGCAGTGTTCAGGAGGTATACTCCCATAAGTGGACGCAGTCAATATATTTTACTACCTATCGACCTCATATTGAATTTGACTAGCTTCAAAAGCAGATAGGGCCAATAACTTGTGTGTCAATGTAGAATACCAATAGGAAATGTGCTAAATTTTTTATTCCCACCTTGGTTGCCTAGTCAGATGTGGGTAGAGGGAAGTAAAGAAGCTGACCATGAAAGACAATGAAGAACGAAATATGGCCTCAGGATTAGCCATATATCCTTCCTGAATTCAGGGGAATATTTTCGGTACTGTTCGCAATAACATGAACCGTGAAGAAGCCCTGATATCACATCTGCTTTACATAGCTTGATATCCATTGGGTGTTTGGACAAAGGTCTTCAAGCAAAGGGGTAACATCGAATGGCTACTTTAACAGATCGCGTTCGTATTCGACTCCCTTTCAGAGTCGCTGTGCTACCTAAATCAGTAATTGGCTTATTTTGAACTTAGGTGATGCACACGCCTTTACTAATCTCTTAAATAATTTCTTATCAACCAAGCGACCCAGAAAGAAGTTCGTTAGGGGGAGCTTCGGCCGTTAAACTGGGCTACTTCAAAAATTATTGTTCCATATCAGCCACTATTATATCTGGCCAGGCTTAAAGGCACAGGTCAGGACAATTTTGGGGGTATCTGGTATTTCAGATATAGTGGTAGGTAAGGCCTACACTAAGACAATGGTAAAGCCTAAAACGCTAAAAACAACAAGAAANGATGCACACGCCTTTACTAATCTCTCAAATAATTTCTTATCAACCAAGCGACCCAGAAAGAAGTTCGTTAGGGCGAGCTTCGACCGTTAAACTGGGCTACTTCAAAAATTATTGTTCCATATCAGCCACTATTATATCTGGCCAGTCTTAAGCAAATCTTTCCGTATTCATCTACCATTTCACTATCGCTAACGCTTTCCAGAGCACCCAGGCGATATGAAAATCCGCTC